GGCGGGGGGGCGCCCCCCGCCGGCCCCCGCAGGTAGGCGGCCATCAGCGCGCTCGCCAGCCCCTGCTATTGCTGCGCGGACGGCCAAACGCTTCCTCAAAAAAATATTTTTAGAAACGTAACCCCTCCCCTAATTAGGTGAGAGTCCGGTTTTATGTTCCGTCTGCCCTGCCTCCTTCCGTGTAAAGGTACGGATGAAGGTATGAAGACACCAGATTTTGCCTTTTCTGTCCTTACCACCTACTCACACATAACCTCAACTTTACATCCAGTATTGTATAACCTTTAAACGTTGCCTACGCCTTGTTAAAACCTGGGCTCAATTACTTTCTTATTAAAACCCCTTCCCCCCCCCCGCCGCCCGGCATCCTCTCTTCTCCCAAGGACACCCACGGACAAAAGCCAAGGCACCGCACCGCTCCGCGCAGAACCTGAATGCGGGGGGTTTGTGCATTTGCAAAGCACTTGCTCTTGTTTTGGAAGTGGCGTCGATCAGTCTGCCCAATTAAGGGGGACGCCTTTGCCCCGATGGGCCTGTTTACTCCTCTTGTTGCCTTTCAGGAAAGCGTAAATTCCCCTGCTAGCGCCTCATTTCTGTGCGAAATACCAAGGTGCTCAGTCCGATCCTTTGCTAGGAAGAAGCGAGGGTGGGCAAAAGTGTACAAATACAAGCAGCCGGGCAAGTGGAGCAGAAGCTTTAAATCCTGAAATTCCTTTGCAGTCTTCAACCGTAAATTTCCTATAGGTTATTTCAACAGTGGAGGTCGACTTCCTACACTGACCTGCCCTACGCGTTCGTGCAACATACCACTTCTTTTTGCTCCTAACCCTCCCCCCTTTACAATAGCGATTATTTTACAATGTTACAATCACCAGTAATTTTATACGCTTGGATCTTGTGACCGGGACGATATCTAACATATAATAAATGCACGAGGTTTTAGCACGCGTGAAACCCCAGCTATGAACAAGAAATTAAGGTTACCGGAGGAAAAAAAAATGCTGACAGCGTTTACGTGAAGTGCCCAAGACTCCACTTCTCGTAGCAGAACGGCACATTTATAAAATACGAGCTCTCCTTGTCCCTCCCTTCGAAAAGACATAAAGTGTTCTGCTTAATACCGTTTTAAATTTATTTTTTCAGATTGATTTATTCTAAAGACATTTGGTATAAAAATTCCTTAGAGGCTAGAATATTGGTTAAACAGACACAAACGAGTTGATTGAGTTCATTAAATGGAAAAAAAAAAAGTCTCGTTAGCAAATTTCAGTTAAAAGAAAATTCCGTATATGTTCTTCGATGAATAAGTGAAAGACTACAAAAACACGTAAATAAATGAATGCAGAAATATTTGTTGCAAAGTCTTTCTTACATTGCAAAATAAACGCAGATTTTGTAAAACGGGGCGGG